AATAGTCAAACACGAGAACATTCATCCTGCCATCTCTTTGCCACCTAATGCTGGTCAGCGCACCGCTTCTCCAGAGCCTGCTGCGGTCCGGCCACCCGCCATTTCTCCAGAGCTCTCTGCTTCCCCGCGAGGGGAATTCCCCCTGGCCGCCGGCTCCCAGCAAGATTCACTCACCAGCTCCCTGTAGTTCATCGTAGATTTGCCCGCTGGCTTCCCACATTTCGGCACAGATCCACCTACTGTCTCCTTGTAGCTCGATGTAGCCCCTCCTGATATTTCCCATCACAGGAGGAAGAAGCAATGGAAGTAAGCAGTGTCCATGGCTATTGCCCTACCCAACCTGGTGACTCCAGAGTACACCCAGGAGAGGTTGCCACCACACCCCCAGATCCAGACCTCAATGAGACTACCACCGTGCCTCTAGAGTTCTCTCTTTGCTTCTGCGGAGTCTCCGAAGCCCGTGTTTGCCACTTCGCTGTCTCTGAACCCCTTTTTCATCTCTGTTGTGTCACTGAAGCCCATCTTCATCTCTTTTGTGTCTCCGAAGCCCGTCCTCACCTCTGCCGTGCTCCCAGAGCCCATCTTTGCCTCTGCTGTGCCCCCAGTACACGTCCATTTTCAATTAGCCCACACCCCAGACTCCCAGCCCAAGAGGAGCCCCTGTGCCCTGCTCTCCTCCAGGTGTTCTGGGTCCCCACTCACCCCCAAGTATCCCAGCTTCACCCCACTTGCATCATCTCATGCTGTCCCGCCAACACCCGCCTCTCTCCTGATGTCCCACCAGCACCCGCCTCATCTCCTGTTATCACGATGCCTGACTCTCCGGTCACTGCCAAACCAGATTTGAGTGATCTAGAGGACTAAGAGGAAGACCCTCTGGGCCTTGCCTTGAGCCCCACTCCGTGGGCTTCCGCCTCAACCTAGGTCCTAGGCAGCCATTGGTGACAGCTGAGGTTCAAGAGAGGGGCTGGCTGAGTCTCTGTCTCCCTGTCTCTGTCTCCATCTTGCCCGATGTTGCCCAACCAGGCAACTCTCCTGCTGCGGCCTTAAAGAGACAAGTGCTCTCCAGCTCCTGTCCAGCAGTCCCCTTGGCGTCCTCCGGCCCTGCTGGCTCTCCAAGGCTCTCAGGTCCTGTGGTCTGTACGAGCTCCACCTTGCCAGTGAACAGGGTCCCCTTGGCGTCCTCTGGCCCTGCTGGCTCTCCAAGGCTCTCAGGTCCTGTGGTCTGTACGAGCTCCACCTTGCCAGTGAACAGGCCTAGGAGGATTGGCGTCTCAGGGTCGTCACTCAGCTTCCCAGTGTCCGGAAGACTCCCTAGACAGCCTCCGTTTTTATTCATTGCACCTCAGTCTCTGTTCCAAAGCTTTGGTTTTCACCTGGTCTGTGTGCCGAGTGGCTCCCTCATCTGTTCCCACATTTGTCTCAGTTGCCCCTCTACCGTCTGCCATGTTGTCGTTTGACCTGTTCTATTTGTCCTTGACTTTCTTCTGCACTCAGGTCCCCATTGATGTCTAGTGTTTGTCCCTGACACCTGGTCATGTCCCGTCTCTGATCTGTTTCGTTTGTGTGGTTTTGTCTGTTGGCCTCTCCTGTTGTCCTTTGTGGGGGGGGGGGGGTACTGTCATGTCTTGTCCACCGAGTCTGCCTGACAGGGTTGGGGCCATTCCGGAATGCATTGATCAATTCCAGTCCAAATCAGGAAATGGAACTGGAGTTGGAACTTAAATCTCCCTGAAATTCAAATTCAACTCCAATTCTGTTCCCTTTAGTTTTTTTTCCCAATCCCAGCTCCATTTCCTGATTTGGACTGGAATTGATCAATGCATTCCGGAATGGCCCCAACCCTGCTGCCTGACTCTCCTATCTCCTCCCACATGTGGCCTTGATGGGCCACACCTGATGCCTGTTGCCCTGCGTTAGTCCATGTACTTAAGTACTTGTTTGTCATAATCAGGCCGGTCATTAGTGGTGCTCCTCTTGTCAGCCCATGTCCTTTCTCGTTGTAGTCCTCTTGTTTCATCCCTCGTGGTTCTGTTTCTTTCAAGTCCTTTTGTTTCATTTTATTTCAACAAAACCCCTTTTTAGTTCATCAAAAAAGCCTGCCGTCGAGTCCTTCGTCCCTCATATTTTGACAATTCCTCTATTTACAAAAAGAAAATATATTCAGTTTTACATATATTATGTCTTCGGGGAAAAAATTAATAGGAAGGCTCATGTTCATTCAAATACAGTGTGTTACTTGTGTACAAATCAAGAGCCTAACATGTTGCTAAATTTTGCATTTGTAATTTTCATATCAGTTACAATATCAAAATTACATCAATAAAAAAAAGTCAATGTCATCATTGTCTTATATTAGCTAAATATGGTATTTTAAATTTTACTAAATTGATAATATATTCAAATGTATGTTTAAATTCAAATTATTCATAATCTTACTGCTCCTCCTTTAAAAAAATTGTTACACTACACTGAAAAAACAGCACAAGCAACTAGATCTACTTTAAGAAGAGAATGCAGTATTCCGCAATGTAAAAAACTCTTTCGATAAATCAACTTTCTCCTTTTCAGCGAGAAATCTATGGAACAAATTATCAACTGAGCTTATTTTATGTCTTTTGGTAGTTTAATATTGTCAGAGCAAATGTGCACACATTCACGAGTTGGTGCACATGTGTGCAAGTGTTTTACTATTGTGACCTGTATTTTATATTATTAGGGATGCGATATTAAGGGGTTGAAATGTCTGTATGACTTTATGACCTGTATTTTATACATCATTCACACTTTATTCTAATTCATGGTTTCATTTACCTGTTCAGGGACTACGGGCAGAAAATAACAATGTTTGCTAAAACCTGGTACGATTCATCTTTCCTTAATTGTTGTATCAGGTTAATGTTTTATTGTGCACTGTTCTTGTTTAAATAAATAAATACAAAGAAAAGTCAACCTGTTTTTTATTATTGTGACAAGACTTTCACAGTAAAGAATACAGGGGCTTAATTGTGTCGTTCATGCTTTAATTTGGTCAGTGTGTAATAGCATGCAATTAATTGTCACGATAAAGTGAAACGTGACAGTGATTGTCACGGTTACATTAAAAGTCTACTGATTTCATTTTGTATATTTTAAGTTTGATTAGTTGTCCCTATATATATACAGTGAACTGAAGTATGGCGAGTCAAACACGTGTTCCTAGATGAAGGGAAGTTAAACTGTAAAGTCACAGTACAGCTTCGTAGATGATTTACTGATTCGGATTGTGAAATAGTTTCAAACAAGCCAACTAACTAAACATGCATAGTGAATCAAAGTCCGATGCTGTCCTTGTCAGTTAAACCTTGTTTGTGAGTCAATACTGTACGTATATCAGTAGTTTTAAAACCACTTGACCTTTTTTCTCTTCACAATTTTAAAATCCTACGATCTTTGTTCGTTGTTCCGTAATTTCTAAGTAATTCTAACTGAACTCATTTTTTATTTGAAGTCATTTTCTTTAAAACGTGTAATGCTTGCAGAAAGTGAAGTCATGACACACTCGCACGTAAGAAAAAAAGAATTTTCGTTAACATTGGAATGTAATTAACACTCCTTGAATGGTCTTGTGATTTTCTTTGCCTTTAAAAGCCTGCTTATTACGCCAAGCACTCCCAACTGGATCGTGTGAATTTCTCGCAGAGCCCAGTCGAGCTTTAAACTATATTTTTGTAAATAAAGTCGCGAGCAAGTATCACAATTCCTTTATTCCTTGTTTTAATTCCAAATCCCCGTACGGCGTGGGAGGGACGTTCGGCGTCTCGGCCCTGATTGGCTGACCGGATTCCCACCACGGATTGTCACTGGCTTACGAGAACCCCACAACGATGACCGGTCATAACTTTTCAGCAAAACCAGAAAGTAATTAAACTGCAGGGAAATAATCATACCGATATCCGAAAATAGAATATGACATTTCGTATTGATTATTTTTCTAGTTCTACATAAAACTGAACAAGGCACGTCACGTGCCGTTTTAGTTAACTGCTTATTTGTATTATTATTATATGACTTCTGGCTGGAGAGATTTTGGACACTTAATATAAGTCTTCAATTATCATGTTATATGCACCAAATCTTTAAATGAATAGTCGTTCGTGTCCTGATGATATTGCACCCATTTTCATTGCTCTTTCCCTAAAAAGGTCTACAGAAGCCTGAATATATTCTCCAGATCTCTTATCGACCTTCAGAAGGTTGCAGTTTTCTCTGAATCCCACTAATCTTTCGGGAAGAAGTAGCAGGTGATATTGCGTACACAAAGTATCACAAGATTATGAGTCACTGTGGCATTATGCCAGAACTAGAGGGGGGGAAAATACATTTTCGGGGGGGTGATATTTTGGCTGATGCCACAACATTACACTACTTTCAATGTAGCATTAATATAACATGTAACCCTAACTAAGCAGGAAACGCTACACCCCGGCTTCCCTTACAAAACTTGATTATACAACATATTGCAACATAACTATTGTAGATCTCTGTGCGGGTCTCTCTTCTTTCTGTAAAAAGCCAGGTTTTAATCGCGGATTCACTTCGATGGTAACTGTTCTTCTGCTGTAGCTGGAATTTTAGACGGGAAACATTGGAAAGCAGGAGAAAAAATGAGCTTCTCCAGCAGACTGCTGACGTTGATACTGGGATTCTGCTTTGAAGGCGGCGGAATATACTAAGCGCCCTAGCGATGGGGTCGCAGCGGCTTCCCTGAAACCGCCGGCGGTGATTGGGCAGCGCAGTTCCCCCCACACTGCTCGCTCGGCGAGCCCTGGTCGTACGCTGGTTGGAGCCGGAGACTCTCGCCTTGCAGTTCAATGGAGGAGCGGCCCAGCGAGCTGGCCCACGAAAAACGCTCCCGCCATGGAGAAGAGAGGAGCCCCGGTCGGCCGAAGAAATCGCTGAAAAATGATTCGAGTCACTGCCAGCAGCAGGAAACGGCGACGAAGAAAACAGGTCGGGTGTTTATATTCGGGGTCTTGTGTCTCCCTTGGACACGTGAAAGCCGCAAATGAACTATCTGCATGGAAGTTGCGCCCGGTGCTTTAGCTAGTTGTGGACGCGTTAGCAGTCGGCTCGTCGCCCGCGGACGGGCATTGACCTTGCGTGCCGGCTCCAGCCCGTTCCTAACTCGGATTTTCCCCGACATCACTGACTGTTTAACGTCAGGGTTTCCCGGATCGCTCGTGTTTAGTAGGCTTCCAAGTAGAGACAGTTTGTGGGGGGGGGAAACAGGAGCTGAAATGTTATTTTAAAAGAAACACGAGCACACGTTTTGCCTCCCCAGCAACACAAGCCGGCTCCGCTGGAATGTTCCTGCTTTTTGGTTTGCATTAGTTGCTATTTCCTGTCCGCCATGATGGAAACAAAAAATGTTACTAACTTGTTTTTTAAAACTGGTTTAATATTTGAAGTGGTTTGGCATTCGCGATGTTAAGTTGGACCAGAGCGTCGTCTACACTCTGCATTATTAAAATGGGCTCCGGCCATGTCGCCGTGTCGTCGGCTCGCCTTTTCGCGACGGGCCTGTTGCTCTCGGCTGGCTAAAGCAGCTAGCCATCGGTGTCCGAGTCTCGGAGGGGTGCTGGTTTGTAAAACACTAACTAGATTAATCGATATTCTCCAGGTTGTGGTGTCTGCATTATAAAATGCAGATGTTATCAGGAAGTGTTGGCCGTTTGGCTAGTTGCGGTCTCCGCGATCCGGGACCATGACCCATCAAGTTTGTTAGCCTGCCAGACGGTGCAGCCCGGGGGTAGCATACCGTTATTCTAGCCCCCCGCTCAGATACCCTTCCAGACACAGGCCACCCACAACGCCGCGTTTAAGTATCTGTTGCTAACTGTATTTCATATCCCCTGGGGACGATGGGTGACGTTGGATTTTAGGAGTGAAAACAGTTGAGGACCGATCTGCCTTTGCCCACTACTTGGCTGGCTTACTTTGCGTTAAATACACGCCTGTCTCGTTTCTTCATCCAGTGACCCACATAGAAAACTAGTTGGATCTCTGGTGGTAGCTAGTAATCTGTTATATGCAAGTGATATTTGGTCATGTACGGAATAAGTTAAGCTGTCCCCAATGACAGCGCTCAAACCACTCCCTATTAGTGGTTGTAACCTAGTTTGCTAACACTAGCAATATAGCTGGCCGTACGGGCTTTCGCCGTTAATCGTGTGTGAAATTGAATTGATGCGTTAACTCGCGGCTTTTACGGGGCAGTAGTCAGGAAGGGACGGCTAACCAGGCAACTAGATTAATATAAGCAAGTGGGATATCTAAGCCGCAGGTCCTGCTGAACTGTGGAATGTGCTGCTCTTGCAGTTTGAACGTCGCAGCACAAGCCGCACGTCCGAACTCCAGCCGAAAGGGAGCGTGCTCGTGGCGAGGCGGCGGGCGTCGCGAGCTCTCGCGGTTCGGCTCGAGCGTCGGAGGGCTTCGATTGCCGATCGGCGGCCGATTCGCCCGTTCGCGAAAAGTCGGTATGAATGAACGCGCCGCCCCCCCCGGGTCGCACGACGCGTCATATGTGGGGGGTAAAAATAGGTCGTGAGGGAGACCTACCGACGTATTTTAGAAAGTAGACTCTGGGCGACAAGAGCCAAGTCTTTAATGAGCGCTTCAAAATGTCGAAGGTTGAGAAGCGTGGCCGTGTTGGAGGTCGATTGAGGCTGGAGTGTTAACGTTTGACGTGTTTATTCCTTTCGCGTAAACGCCGCAAAGTGCCGGATCACGCAGGTTTTGCTAGTGTGGCGGATGTCGGTGTTTTGAATAGTAAGTCTATTGCGTGCTTCTATTTTAAGACCGTGCGTCTTTCGGGGTTACCAGAGGTATCTGGCAGTTTCTTTTGCGATCTGAACCGCTCAGTGAAATCTCTTGGGTATCTCAGTCGCCTTGTCCTTTTTATGTTCATTTAAACATTTTGTATCTGCAGCTCATAGCCACAGGAACTGTGTACTCTTCTAATTTATAGTGATCGTCTTCTCTTACGTGGCACTGAGTCCTGCCTTACACTGATACATCTTTTCCAGTTTTTCAGTTATTTTCACTTTTTATACATTTTTCTTTGTTCCCTTCTATCTTAAAACACCAGTAGCGTGACACACTTTATATGACATAGTGTGGTATGTACAACTAAATGCAATAGATAAATGGGCCAAAGGATAAAGTCTCTGGATATAATAGCAAAACATCCAGTCACAGCTGAGTTCCATCTTTTGCAATGACTTTGAGAAATATTTGCATGTGAATTATTTTTGGCATGTGGGACCAGGTGACTTTGTTTACTTCCTCTAATCTTTAAATGGCTTTATACCATAATTACCATAAAAGGTGGCTAGTATTGAGTGGTTCCTGTGATGGCTTCAGAAGGCATTTCTCAAATCTGGAAACCTTAGTTGCAAATAAAAAGAAAATGGATAGCAGGTCCAGTCACATTCATGCTGTGATGGTGTGATGTGATTAGTGCTTGTTGAGTTTTCCGTTCCACAACTTTCTTGTAAAACCAGGGGTGGTTAAAGTATGTGATTTATTTATTTGATTATTTATTTGCTCATTTATCTATCTATGTATTTATTTTATAAAGGAGTGATAATTCAGGTATGTGGCCTGCCTCTGCTGTCCCTGGCAGGTTTCCACTTCACATAGTCATCCTGCTCCAACATTCTCCTGGAAATCTCACCATGTTTCTAGTCAGTGGAGATTTGGAACTGCCTTAGAACCTGTAATCTGAACTTCACGTCATGAAAAAAAAAAAGTTCTGACATTTTGCCTTTTTTTTTCTGTTTTCAGGCAATGGAAAACTAAATGGTAACATTACAGAGAGAAAGAAGATTCTTTCTGCACTTGAGTCAGTTAGCATCACATATCCCATTAATGGTCATGGCTACACACAGCTAGATACAAACTTAAGACTGAAGCATGCTGGGAAGTTCCTTAGCAATCTCCCAGTAGAGGGATGCAAGAGTGTTCCCGGTAATAAAAACAGTATGGACAGCAAGAATGACAAGCCTTCGGATTTTAAAACTCACGAGGGCAAGAAAGAGTTTGTGACGCTCCTGAACGGCGTGGTGGGCCTCACTGGGCTCCTCACTAACGGTTATTCCAGTAAGCCGGCCCCCGACACCGATGGCAGTGGTTCCGAGAGCGGCTGCGGCACCCCTAAGAAACGCAAATCCCAACGCGGCGGCAGCAAGTATGCCGAGGATGTGACTCTGCCAGCAGCCATGCAGCAGAGCAGTGCCTCGCCACCTAAGTTGGAAGCAGACCCCGCTCACCTCCAGTCGGCCGAGAAGCCAGCTGGCTCGCAGGCCGACTCCCCCAGGACCACCCCGAAAGCCGAGCCCCCTGCCTTAACGCGTGCCAGGCCGGTGACGGGCTTGGCGACGGGTGCTTCTTCGGCAGGGGAGCAGGCACGCAAGAACTCAGACGGCAAGGCCGTTGGCTCTGGGAAAAAGCACGAGGACAGGCTTAGTAAGGCCAAACTCGCCACCGTGGTGACTGCAAAAGAGGACTCGTGGACTCTGTTCAAACCGCCGCCTGTGTTTCCCGTGGACAACAGTAGTGCTAAGATTGTCCCCAAGATCAGTTATGCAAGTAAAGTCAAGGAGAACCTTAACAAAACATCCCAGGTTGGATTGGATGCTCCCCTTCTCCCAGTGCCTGGCAGACCTCCGCAGGTCCCCATGTCTGCAATGAAAACCATCACCTCGGCCAGCTTTACCAACGGCCCTGTCCCTGGACAAGGGAACCAGTGCTCCCAGTCCGGACCCCTCTTCCCCGCTGCTGCTAGTACTGTTCCGCTGGCTCCCTTTCTCCTGGCGGGTGAGAATGTAGCATCATCTTCTGAAAGCAGCAGTGGCGCGTCGGCTGCCCCCTTCACCACAGTGGGCGAGCACAGGAAGCCCAGCCTTTTCGTTTACCCGCTAGGCCCTCCGAATATGCAACCCCCGCTTCCCAGTGGTCGTCAGGCCGAGCCCCCTTCTGTGCCGGGCAATCAGAAAGCACTGGGAGATATCTTCCAGAACCAGTGGGGACTGTCCTTCATCAATGAGCCTAGTGCTGGTCCCGATGGGACTGCGGGGCGACAGGCTATGAAGAACCGGGCCGTGGATGTGTCTTTCCAGGGGGACTGCGCTGCTGCCCCTGGCACTCGGGCCTCCCTTACCCCTCTGCAGGGTCCGGAGAACCCACCCATGCCAAAGGCTTACGACCCAGATGTGCGGACTAGCCCCCAAACCCTTAGTGTTTTAAAAGCATGTTCTCCTGCAGGCCTAGCCTGCGAGGGCTGGACACAAACGCAGCCACTCGAACTGGATGAGCAGGAAGGTGGGGTGGCCAGTATAGGTGCAATAGTATTTCCTTCGTTGAAAGACGAGGCCCCGCAGGCATGTTCGGCTAGCCCCATGGTGGTTCCTGCCAGAGAGCCGAGTCACTCCAAGGGCTTCGATAGGAGTTATAGCTGGGGCTCCTTCAATCTCAGAGCTGCTGTAACTTATCACACTAAAGGTAACTCTCCAGCAACTCTCTCGTTGGTCTTGAAAATGTCTGATTTTACCCATTTGAAGGTCACGCTTGATTGGCGTGCCATAAAATGTCCACAACGTGTCTTTCCTGCTCTTCTAATTTCTGAGATCCTGTTTTGATGGAGGTCCCCGCTGTCTTCCATTACATTAGGTGCTGTGTACATTGCTAGAATCATCAGTCATCTTTGTATGCAGCAGAATGTTAGCACTGGATTACATATATTTTGTACGTGCATAGTAACAGGTCTTGAAACAGAAGACGTTACAAATGTGCAGCATTGTGTTGCGAGCGGAAATACCAAAGAACTATCTTTACATGAAAAATTGTGAAATAAGTCACTTCATTGACTGTTTCTATGAACTTTGATTCTACACTATCGATTTTAACTGCAAAATAACGGTGGGGAACCTTAATTACACCTGGGATCTCAAAGGTTTATTAAATTGTTAGAAAATGAAACTGTTAGCATATCAAAGTGAAATTTTTGCTTTCCATAACATGACTGTTTGTTCTTATTTTACAGAAATGGAATATATTTTAAATTTGCAAAAACAAGGTAAGCAAGCATTTACATTTAATCATTGTAATTGAGGGATTGTTTTTTTTTTTTAACCCAGTAAAGGTCATTCTCTAGGTTTTGACATATGGGAAGGATATTTTAGGTGACCTTTACCTTCTCTTTCTGGCATTGGGGTTTTACTCGGGCTCCTCTGTTCATACATTACATTTATTGTGCAATTCCTGATTAAACCGCACGTTAATTACAATGTTGGGCCCGCAGCCATGTACTTTCACCCCTTCACGTTCGAGAGGTTTAGGGGCAGAAGATGCCCGCGAATGTGAAAATTTGCGAGTAATACTTGATTCCATTATTAAAAATGCTAAGTTGACGGCACTGAAAAGGTCAAAAGGTAATGTGAGAAACGCGAGATTCCACGGTCACAAAGCTAACACATGAGTAAGGCTGCTTGCCGAGACAAAGATGTGCGGAGTACCCAAGCCAAGATGCCTGGATCCAAGACTTTATTTTAAACCAAAAATAATGTAATAGTATGCACTTACACAGTCAAATATTAAATAACATGAATATTTATATATGATTTTATTTGATCCGAGTCATTTTCAGTACTGTGAACATTTCTGCTTACGTGTCATCCAAAAATATTCCCCTTAAATTGGTCACGGCTAACTCGCAAATAAGCAAAACTGTGAATGTCAAACTTGTGAATCTGGAGGGGTGACTGTACATAAGACAGAAATACGGTTTCTTGAGTTTTTCTTTTTCCACCCATGGTACTTAACTGCCACAGTAAGTTGTTGAAGTTCTTGAACTTCAGCACAGTCCATTTTGATAATGGAAATCAAGTCATTCCCTTCTTCCCCACAGATCCAAAAAGAGTTGTTCTTTATGACAAGAGCCAAGATGGACCCAATCAGTGAGGTCGGCACAGTCACATGACCTTCACCTGAACACTACCGTGAGACAAGGCGTGTGGGCTGCCTTTGGCTCCTTTTGTCAGACTCAATAGATTCAAAATTAATCACAATCGTCACTCGCATAGAGGAACTGGAGACGTATCCTGTAATAAAGACTGCAGAGTCGTGAGAGAACACAAGCAGAGAGAGGAAGAGGAGCGAAGGTCGGTGTGGGAGAGGCAGAAAAATCCAGTATACCGGGATGGCCTCCCGTCGGAGACCTGGAGCTGCTGTGGAGCCGTCAAAGGGTGTGTGGCTGCCCAAACTTCACCCCGAGCAAAGGGTTCCTTTTATCCTCTGGTACAGACTCCAGTACCCAGGTCTGAAGACTTTGTTAGAGTCTTCACCTATGTCTATGGATCGACGTAACACCTTATGCTGTGACAGACACTGGGTTCACGGCACTGTGGGGGGTGGGGGGGGGGTGTAAGAGGTAATGGGGACATTGTTTCCATTTCCTGAGCCTTTCCATGGGGGGTGGGGGGTGGGAATCATAATCAGATAATGCTCTTAATTTCCTTTTGAATCCAGGTTGACTGATACAGGCACATTTGTGCATTTTTTGTGTGCGACATTGAAATTCATAATGGGGGGGAAAGGTGATTTCAAGCGGATGCCTTGGGGAAAAAAATGGATAAAACAACAGGAGGAACTGAACATCCAGTCTTTCTGCTGGACAAACAAAAGCATAGATTCTTGGTATTTGAGCATGGAAAGATGTCGGGCCTTGGGGGATACAATTGTCTTAACTTTATTTTGGAAAGGAGATCACACCGTACAGTATTGACGGACCGTCTTGTTTGGCGATGCCTGTGTTTTTTTTGTTTTTTTTTGTTTTCTTTTCTTTTCTGCTGTTGGACGACAGATGAAACAGAACCAGAATCGCAGATGGAGAGCGGCATGTCCGGGTCCGGACAAGTGACACAGGAGTTTCCTGCTCCTCTACATCTTCTGTTCTGAACTGTTACGCTACTGTGGTCTAACGGTGTCGTGAGTTTCTGTTGATTGTAAACTTGACCCTCATACATAGATCAGTATTTAATTAACTTAAAGTGGGAGAATCTGAGTCAATGTAGTAATTATTTCCATGTCGCTATACTACAGTTGTGGAGTTTGGATAAACGATGGAGAGGTTCGACCACAGAGGCTCCGTCGCTTTTCCTTTATCATATTAAAGCTTATGCAACATGGGATCACCTAGAACCAAATTAAATGTGCTACCGTGCATTTCAGTCATGATAGCATCTCATTGCACAAACAGGTGCAGTCTCTTGTTAAATTTGGCTGTCTAAAAGTGACGCTGCCTCTTTTTTTTTTTTTGCGCCAGATTCGACATTATTTTGCATTATTTTGTCTTGCTCTCAATCGTTAGTTCGCTTGGACATTATCTTCCCCTTTCCCTCCCGGTGAATCTTATTTTTTTTTATGGTTATAGAAGTGACTGGTGAAGAATCAACCTTGCGAAAAGCATTCGTTTGTCAGGCGAGTGGCTTACCGTCCCCGGGGTCCCTTCTCACCCAGATTGATAACTGTGTCACTCGCTGTATTTCTGAAATCTTCACCGTCTATATCGTCGTTCCCCCGTATGCATCTGACAAGGGGTTAATCTCCCAGCCCGAAGCTACATCTTTGCATCTTCTCAGTCTTGCTCTCCATTTTCTTCGATTAGGATTAAAATTGACAGGTTTTTTGCCTGCTGTCTCCCCGCTTCCATAACTTATTTGATTATAACGAAATTAGCACTTTATGTAAACTAAATTCTTCTTCTAGAAATAGATCTATATATGACTATCACAATAAGTAGATAAATACTAACCCTGGTTAAGAATGGCTTTTGGCTGTTTGTTTTTCTAAATAAAAGCAAAATATTAAAAAGACACTCAGGTAGAATTAGTAAAGCCATTATTTCACAAAGTATACCAATACAAACAATTATTGCCAAAAATCACTTAAAAGCTGGTTATTTGCTTTCCTTTGTGGTTTTTGTTTTGTTTCAGTTTCCCTAAGTGATTTGAATAATTTGTGCTTAATCTACAGTTGTTCAATACCAAATTGCTACTGGGGACATAACTTTCATTTTAATTTGGTTGTGTGTACCTGCACAATGTCTGTTTTCATTTTACAAGGTTCGCAAACATTACTAAATGTACTTTTCACGTCCATGTCCTCGTGTCGGAATAAGTATCGTTTGCACTCGTCCGTGTTTGTCGTCGTTTTGTTTTCCGCACTGTTATGTCTTGGTGTAAGTTTGTTCGGATCTTTTTTTTCTGCTGGCCTGGTGATCCTGTCGTCGTCGGTGTTTCCCAGTCTGATCCCACCAGCCTTTCTTGTGGTGTAGTGTTCCAGCTTACACCCAGGCTGGGGAGTCTGTTCCATTTCCCCACTTGTGTCTGTTGTTCGCGGGTGGCCTGCGTTGTAAGTGGACAGTCCAGGCCTCTGGACTGACCCTATAATGAGATGTTGTTAGTTCAAGCTGGTGTTTAGTGTGTCTTTTTTTTCTTCTTTTTAACCTTGTCTGCAAGCCTATCTGCCTGTGGATTGGTATCATTGTTGTTTCCTCCGCTTGTCTGTCAGATCAGACCAGCTTCTGCCTGCATACAGGGTCTGCTGCTTCAAATCCTTAGTCACAGGTTTCGGTTTGTGCTCTACGTATGTAGAACTTACTGAGCCCTTTTTAATTAATCTTAGTCCCTAAAGAGCTTGCCTTTTGTTTAGCCCAGTGCTATTACTGGTGTTGCACTCCAAATTACCCAGAAGGTTGAGGAGCACCTCGTCGGCGTGTGAGCTGCAGACTGCCCCAGCTAGTTCAGCAAAGGCAAAAGTCTGTAAAAATTGGTCTGCATGTCTTCAAGAGTTTACCTCATTACCTCTGCTACGTATGCATCGCAGATGGTGGGTCTGCTCCCCTCACCCCCCCCCCCCAATCCCCTGTTCATAAATGGCTGCCCCCCCCCTTTTTATATATAATTGCGGAAGACAACTGCTTAGTTTTGCACAGTGCAACAGTAGCAGGTCGACTGTGGTTCTGGCCAGCTGTTGCATTTTATGTCTTGTACCTCATTAGTTAGCTCGCCAAGCGGGGGTGGGAATAGAGCGGCTCGCACAAAGCCAGAAGGACATCTGGGTCAAGTGTGACTACACAACTTGGCATTAACACGTTTGCGAAGAGAAAAAAAATTGTTGGGGGGGGGGGAGTCCATTTTAGAGGCCTTTTTGTTTCCTACAGCTTCAAAACCTGGGGGAGCTACCGATGAATAAAGGTGCCATGCTTTGGGATAGCAAGGCCTTAGGGCTGGGCTTCAGTGAAATGGAAAGGCTGGCTGCTCTCTGGAGCAGCGCGCGTGATCGCCGGGATGTACGTCTTTCTAGATGTGTTCCTGTGAGATTTCAAGACGAGGAATTAACTGTTAATGTGGTGTGTATGATATGGGGCTGAAATACTGTGAATTTTTCATTTCTTAATCTGATTCTTCACTTTGCCCCCTAAAATTGTATTGAAAGCACTTACCAATTTGAAGCTTGTTTTATATATTGGTGATATTTCTCCCTTTTTCGATGGCAACGTTAAAAGCCCGCAAAACCGGATGTTGGTGGGCACCAGACCAGCTCTCTGCTCGTTTGGGTGCAGGAGGTGTGAGATTGATAGTATCTGTGTGCATGTCTTTAAACAACAGATTGGTTGATAGGTCATCCTGTTATTATAACAGAGTGATGTGGAATCGCAGAAATGCTGGAATGAGTCCCGTCGGCCGGTCTGTCTTGTCTCGTGTTGATGATGTCTCACACTTGTCATCCGGCAGCTGTGGTTCATTCTAATGCCTGAAAGTTTCAGTGTGTGTGTGATTTGCAAATGCAATATGCAAATGTCCCTGTGTCTATTGATAATCCTGACACACTGTGCACAGGATTCTTATGCTAAAAATAATAGATTTGACTACTTATAATTTGTGCCATGCTAAGCTTTACTATGCTGTATGAGACATTGCTATGCATTACTTTATTTTTGCTTTGTTTCTTTTAGTAGTTATTGGGGGGTGGTAACATCAATTGGATATAAATCCATTACTGCTGACAAACATACTGGAAACAATAAGTTTTATTTCTTGAGGTGGGTGGGCATTGTTTGCTTCTTCCTACTAAAGTGCTGATTTGGTGCTTATTGATTCTTGTTTTCAGTTTTTGGCAGTCAATCTCAAATCTCAAAGAACATCGGTTCTTTTTCATGTGGTCCCAATGTTTTAAGTATATGGTGAATAGTCTTTAGATGCACAGTATAATTTTTAATTCCTCCACTTAAAGGAGAACGAGGGCTTTCATAAGGAGATCGGACATCACACATTGCAGAGGCAGTTGTTAAAGATTTGGTGATATTTGTGGTAACTGAGTGATGAGGATTGTCACTTTTGATTTCTACAGAAACTGTCATTTTGCCCAGATGGGTTACACATGTAAGATTCAGAAATACTCTTTCAATGCAGGCAGCCCTTGTATCATGGAGGAGGGAAAGGGAGAGTTGCTGTGGGGGAGTCAAATGACCCCCCCCCCCACCCTCTTAATTTGACAATATTCTGAAATATGTTCTCTTTGTGGGTAGGGAAGTCAGTATAAAGTGCAAATAAGCACTGTTATCTGGGGTGAACATTGGGTCATATTTTCCATTCTCAATGCTTTTGAGTTCAGGATTTTTTTTCTCTGCATGTGTGATGGTTCAGGTTAGTTTGAACCAATTGTAATCTAACGTTATTAAACAGTTTGGGCGGAGTGGTCAAACAGAAGTCAAAGTAACTTGCAAAATAAATTAAAAAAAAAAAACACAAGGCACACAAAGTTAATTTGTGTATGTTCCATGTTTTTAACAAAGAATGCAGTGCATGCACCATTAATTTAAGCCTTTATTCCACTGGGAAAATAAAACTGGTAATTCCTTCTGTTTGACACTCCTGTCATCCTAGCTCCAGTGTCTTTTGTTTTTATTTTAAAGAATGAGAATTCCCTCCATTGTCAGGAATATTGACTCAAATTGAAATCTGAGCACACTGCATTAGATGTTTTGCTCAATAGGTTTACAATTGTTAGACCGACCCAAAGCAGGTGTTCGTACACTAATGAGCATAATCGACTCATCTTTAATTATGCTTACCTATTTTCAATAAAGTACTCTAAAATAATATTTTTACCGCATCAGTTGAGTTTGCATCATTCTGTTTTCCTTTTGGATATATTTCTTTTTTTTTTTTTCCTTTCCTTTACAGAAGTGATATTGCCCAATGAAACGGATGAATTCTGTTGTATAATGGACAGGTCCACAGAACAGACCGTTTTATTACTCATGGCTGGTGTATCAGACTCTGTTACCTGTAATACAGAGATTTATGGGTCTGTTTAGTGGTTCACAATGGTAATATTCTATAATGGAGTAGAGGAAAGGGAGGGTGGCAGCAGGAACACATGCATAAAGACGGGAGCAGTGACTGCTAACAGGGCTCACTTCAACGGTTTGTACTTGAACTCCGAGCACCTAACTGACCAGTGCTTGTATAATGCATTTAAAAAGAAGGGTTTTTTATTTTTTTGTGGGGAAACAAACATCCGTACTGTTCTAATAACAAATCCCTTTTGCAATTGCATTTGTACTTTTGTGCGCTTTCTATTTGCTGGTCGGTTTGTTGTGCCTTGGGTTAGAGTCTCTGCTCCTGAAATGATACCAATCAGCTCTGTCTGCATTGTTTGCTGAAAGCCTTTGCAGGCTGTTGTGTCTCGCTGGAATTCCGTTCCCATGAGGAAATGGACTGTTGCACATTTCCTTCCACAGGGCCCACTCGGTTCACTGTCACCTCTGAAATGACTTACCGGGCGCATGATTTGGCTGCGGTGGAACGTGTCACGGGAGAGTGTGTGGGGGGGGGGGTATAGAGTTTTGTCACAACAGGGACACCACAGGAATCTTTGTGACCCAACAAACACCTCCTCACACCCAGTCCTACATGACATGCACTTCTCTGTGTACCACAAGCTTGAAGGCGAAGAAAGCGGCCCACCCCCTCCACCGCGCCCCACCCCCTCCACCACACCCCATGCCAAAAATTCTGTTGGCGTTGCACCTTGTCTTCCGATTACACACCACCACCTAGAATCATGTCTGAGACTGTCTGGGGGGGTTGTCACTCTCGGAACACCTCGAGTTGCTTATGTGACACTAAAATCTGTGTGTGGCACCCATGGCTTACACTAACTCAGCTCCTGATTGTTCACAATCCCTTTTGCAGACACATGAGTCCTGTCCCACCTCAGCCTATTTCCGGTATACTTGGTTCTGATTTTATATATGTAAGTCGACTGACAAACAGTGCTTGCTGGAAATACTAATACGATTAAAATCTTTCTTTTTGTAAATTAATTGCCGTCTTGCTTAAAAAACAAAACAAAAAAAAAAAAACGCTTATGATGTCTGCAACCATTGTCTCCAATAAAACCATGAAAGTGCTCCACAATGTGTCCTGGGTGCCTTCCCATTCTTACACCCTCTCAGCATGCTGAGCTCGCTTACTGTACCTCTTAAAACACAACCACTTGTAATGTAAACCGAAAACATCCTGCAATACCTCCCCTCTTCAGACCACCCTTGTTCCGAGTTGTCCTCCCCAAAAAATAGTACTGTGAGAATCTTTATTTTTCATAGCCTCGTGTTCATAACTTGTCTTTCACGACTGTAATCTAAGTATGTTATAATGGATGTACTGCTTTGTACTCTTCATCCTGTTTCTTGCAGTCCACTGTTCATAGGATGTCTTCCCCTTTCATAAATGTATTTGCATGGAACAACAGCTTTAAGGACGTTTTTTCCGTTTAAGTCAACTCGTACATAAGCCTCTCTCATATGAGTAATGGAATGAACGACTTGTCAGAGGCCAATTAAAGAACAACCTTTTGTAGATAGAGGGCGCTGTTGCCTCGCGGCGGTATACGATTCTCGCTGATGCGTATGTTTCACACAAACAACAAAGAGGTGCTCCACCATCGAAAACCTGGGTTGGTATGGGTATAGCGATACTCTGGAAGTACAAAACCTCAAATGTCAGACAGACCAAAGGTACGGAAACAATATTTCGAGGAAGAAATGACGTTAAGCTGGATATAGCACAAAACTGCTTAAGTAGTCCATTCAAAATAGAATAAGGTACGCGAACCATTAGTTCCTCATTTAATGATTTAGGTGTTTACAAAAAGCTTTCCAATAATCATTAATGTGAAATGCAACCTTTTTTCGTATCGATGACTGCATATTAGGACAAACAAAATGACAATTGTTATATTAAGAATGTTTAGTTCATATGGAGTCTGCAAAACTAACAAGAAGGTTACGTATCATTAAGTGTTTCTGAACCGGGAAATCCTTCCCTTGGGTTGAACGATTATCTGCAAATTGCTGTTTCTCCTTCGCTTTTATTGAAGCATTGTTCTGATTTTTGGCACAATACTTTTTTCTTGGGGCCATTTGCAACCCCCACTGCAAAGCCTTGCCAAATGCTCACTTTGATTAAATATTTAGTCGTTGGCATCTTATACAGGCTGCATTGCTGTTAACTGCCAAGTGAGGGCTGAGTTCGCTGTCAGTACCACGCGCAGGTGCATCCCCGCAAACCCTGCCTTTTAGTGGGGACCATTCGGGAAAAGCGTGACAACAAAACCTGCGAGGGGCCAGCGCCCTGCTAAAGAATCCTGTACCTTTGTGCTGCCTTCATTACCCGGAAATCGCTGTAAATTCCCCCCGGAGCGGATCGCGAGTAGAGCTGCGGTGCGTTGCACTCCTGGCGCGGTGCCCATTGCCATCCACCCGCGAAGACGCCTCCGCTAAGGCTTCCGCTGCATCGCCCTCCCGCAAGAGCGCGGCCTCAGCTAAGCCCCTTTCCTGGAGATTGCAATCAGCAATCAGCGCTTGACGCATCCCTGCTCTGATTATGTAATCACAGATATTGAAAGGTACACAAGACCGCCATCACGTGCATAATAAACAGGCAGCTCGAACAATTTTTATACAACTGAAATCCACTCGCATATAAAGTAAATGCACATACATATTATAGAAGTTGGTTAATTTCCGTATTGCACTTAATTTTAGGCCAATGGTACTTTATTTGAAGCGCTTTGTTTCATTACGAATCATTCGCATAACGTCTTGTTTTAATGCTGAAACACGTCGATCTATGACAAATTCCTATTGTTAGATTAGGCAACAAAGAATGCATTTGAACGAGCCACATGCGAACAACAAAAAAGAAAAATCGTTCCTTTTTGTTGCTTCAGATTCTATAAACCGCGTTCCTGTCACTGTAGAAAAATGGCTCCATGTGATTTGTTAGTCAAATGAGTCTCACGGTAGTATTATTATGCAAAACTATTCATGACCATAATCTGCATTTTATATGTAAATCCTTTGAAGTTTCATGTTATGAGACATTCTGTTCGTCTCTCCTTCACAGGTGTCTTTCTCAATAACTTTGAATTCCCACTTACATTAGCATACGCTTGACACGGTCGGATTTCTGAATATCTTTGTTTTATTAATAACAGTTTTTAGAGTCTTGAGTTTGTGGAGTATTGGTCGTGTTACTCTTAAACGCCTTAATGCCTTGTCTTCGGGGATCTGTTCTATTAGTGTTTTACAGAGTGCAGGAAAGATTTGGAGTGGTGTGTAATACGGACCTACAATTTGAAACACTGAGGAATGCTTATGAAGACTCTGCGTTTCCCAAAAATATCACAGTAACGATAAAAGTAAATATTTGGGTTTTTTTATATGATCTACGAACTTACCACATTTTTTTTTCTTTTTGATGCTGACAAAATAGTCTCCTAACTTTCAATTTTAAAAAGCACTAAATTCTACTGGCGCCAATAATGTACGAAATGCAGCGTGGCGTTTTTAACATGATGAAAGCTGTCTTGTGTGTTTCATCTCATTGCTGAGGTGAAGATTTGGACCTGAATCTAAAAACAGCTCTGGTAACAAGTCGATGATCTAAAAATGAAGCGGTTCCTCCGTACCAGAGGTCAGCCAACGCTACCCTGCTCATTGTGCTGTAAGGCAAAGAAGCTCAATTTTAGAAACGCCACAATGCTTTCGTGTTGCTTATCTTTCACAAACGAGGCATTATGACGTTCCATCACATGCCTAATGCATATGAAATAAATAAGTAATATCCAGTTGTTGTGTTTTATTCATTTATTTGCAGCGCTGAGACTCCATCCAGCATCCCTAATCGTTGAGCCTATATTTGGAAGCGAAGGGAAAGGGCAATGGTACATTCTGCCCCCAATGGTAATCCATCACAGGTCACAAACACCCTAATTTAAACTGTACATCTTTGGAGCCACGCGAAAAAAACAAACTTCACTCACAGGAATCAAACCCACAACTTAAGAGAACCCTGTCCAGCACCAAAACTATACACGTACTGAAAAAACTTTTTTTTTTGTTTTTTTTTTTTTGGGAACCTGAGATAAGTGACTTTCCACGCTGCCTCCTCGCGGAGTCGAGTTGCTCTTTCTCCTCATTTCCATGGCAGCCTGACCTGCTGCAGTCGCCTGTGGTGCTCTTGTGACTGACATATGAGGTCACAATGACACCAGTACAGGCTTATCATCAGCCGTGGTTGCAAAGGGGATCCAGTTAAGCACAGACAAGAGAGATGGGGAACCACTATGTGTCCGTAATTAACTTCAGGAGTATATGGGTGCTTTAGCAAAAGAGAGGTGGTTTTATGTCAAGCCATTATATAGTGGCAAAAACCTCTATATTGATTAACAGCGTTTCTAAATCCGTTCTCTCACTTTAACTAGAAAGATGATCTCTGATACCTAACTAACTTCATTGGTTGAAATCAACAATTCTATCAGGCTTTTTCTTTCTGGCTGACCTCGCAGTCCACTCTGTGATGAGTAATGTCAGTCAAAACTAGGTTGTGAAAGTGAAACCAGGTAGTTTAAAGTTTAAGGATCGTGGTTACTTGTATGTCACTGCAAGCGTCATGCAAGGCACAATATGGGAAAAGTTGGTTTTAGCTCCGCAATGCTAATTTCATTGATTTGTAGACGTATTTCTGATTTCTCGTCATGCATTTCACCTCTTGTGTGATAAATTTCAGTTGGCCAGCAGGCTATTGGTACAACAGTGCTGATTATTTATTGCTGTTTTTTTAATTATTATTTTTTATAGGTTTTATAGGTCGTGATTAAATTGTTGATACTTGCTCAGTTCCTCGTGTTCCCGTGTATCTTTTAATTGCACGCTCTTAAATTCCATTTTCAGCGTGTTTGCTCGTGCTATTGAAATGCGAAGATCTCACTAATGCAAACTGTTTGTTTTTCTTTCATCTTGATCAATTTAAAAAGTGATGATAGAACACCTTCTTCTAGTGCCCGTATTTTCTTTCGCGATTAAAATTGACTATCATCAAAACAAAAAGCGTTCCTGTGGTTTTAGGAAGCTGTTCTTTAAATGGAAACGGTGAGCTATTTTATGCTTTTACTCTATTTTCAAAAGAAGCTACCAAGTTAAACATATAAAGCCCCTCTATAAAATCTTGATATACCTAAGCATTAAACGCGGCTATCATCACTGGAGTAATTTAAAAAATGATTTAGCCAGAAGGCAGATCACCTCATTGCTGAGCGGGTAAGGGTGAGATATCGCCCCGTTTTACATTTCGCCTATGTGTGCGCGCACTTTGCAGCCACCTGCCTTTTGCTCCGTTTACAGGCTGCAGGCTTTTTCTGCCTGCGATCTCTCCTGTCCCACGTGCCGGATTAAACTGGGACACGGTGCCCGGTCCAGAAATGTGAGTCGCCGATCCGCCATCTCAGGCCAGAGCTAAAGATCACAAACGTGCCATCAAATCTCAGAGGACAAACAGCGATTGGGATTTTAATAGACCAGTTTACCGTATTCCCCTCTAAATTATAAATTGACTTGAGCAACGAAAGCATTCTTTAGAATGCTTACAGCGCACTTTGTGGTTATATTTAAGGTATTTATAGGTTTATATATAGATCTACCAACCCTTTTTCTATCTTTCGAGGAGATTCATGTTTCAGTTTTGCCTCATTCAAATCATCCGACGCACTGAATTTATTAAGCTTTTTTTTGTCAATTGAAACCAGAGCGGGTCATTTAAATGTTAGTTTGTTTGAAGGAAAATTGACAGTACCCTTAGTCTCTCTTTAGTTGATTTTAATTTTGTTCATTTACCAAAGTGCTATATTTCTCTTCAGGCTGGTGTATTTTGGGAACAACAGCACTGCACGAGCACACGGAGACCTGCGCCTCTTCTTGCGCTCAAGAAAGACTTTCTTGACAACCACTGCATCAAACGGATCCATTATGCATGCAAGGTGAAATGGCATAAATTATACAAGCGTGGAACGGGGCATCAAATCCGAGCTTTGAATCTAGTGTTTGCATACAGCATCAAGAGGGTGACACATGCTTCCCTGCAGGTGGGGGCTCACCTAAAATACATCGCTGCCTTGGGAGGGGAGGGGCACCAGACCACTCCCCTTTACCACCATGAGACTGGAGAGAACCTTGAGGTGAGGCCTTCTCAGCCATCATGTGCTTAAGGATCATGAACCTTGTATCTTTGTGGCAAACCTAGACGCCATCACAGCTACTATATCGTAAATGACTTTCTTTAAAACATGCATGCAATGCAAAAGTGATGTTTATGAAGAACATCTGCTTTAAGTCATGGTTGATGGAGCCTTCAGCACTTTGGCTGCATGGTGTTAAGAGACATTTATCTCCTTTCTGCTGTTCTCCTCACACCAGTCCCACATGTCACCAAGACCCATGCAGTTTCCTCTCATATCTGCCACACCCTAGCACAGTGGTCCTCACTGCACTACACCCTAAACACAGTGTTCTTCACTGCGTGGTCCACAGGCCACTGGCAGCTCCCGGAAGCCAGTGTGGCGGCCCGTGACTGAATAAAAAAATAAGCAAATTATCCTGAGCATCAGATTTATTAATTATTTGTATTATTATGTGTTTATTTATGTAATATATATATGTAGTTTTTTTAAATCTAAATGCAATACAGTTTGTCCAGTAATGTGCACCTACTTAATTAACTAACAATCAAGGGAAGCAGGTTATTAACCAGGTTTTAAAAAGTAAATGCTGACCCCCAACCCAACCCCCCCCCCCCCATCTGAAATTCAATGAGGAACACCGCCCTTGAAGAAGGGGCAATTTGCTGTATGCATGGGCCTTGCCATAACCCATCTAACCCATCGAAATGAGTCAGGGTGATCCCTTTATTTAATACTAAAATGCTTTTAGGGGAGCTGGACAGCACTGGATCCTGGGCTGATGTGCTGGAAGAGGGGGGAGACCCGGGAGGGGGTGTCACTGAATCCGGTTCTACGGAGCTCCAAGGCTGGTACGCGTGGAGGCAGGGAGCAGGAAGTGCGGACTTTCAACTCTCCGCACTCTCAGCTTGTGTGTGATGTTTCGGTCCCTCCTGGGGGTTGCCTTGAGCTAAGTGCATCTGAGTGCTCACATCCTCACAGCCCAACATACAAAGCAAATCATCCTCAGATTCATAAGGCCCCAGTGCTCTGGCTAAGCTTGCAGCACTTCAGGAATAAGATTTGGCGTTGATGACAAAATGCAATTTATGCAGAAGAAATGCCTGCCGTTGCCGGATCTCTTTTTTTTTTATTATTGCGTCAGTTGCATTGCACTCAACATCCAGTGTGCAGTAATCTGTGATGATCTTGAAAAGCTGTGGAACAGATGGACCTGCTGCACTATATTTAGACGATGCTATAATCGCTCCTTTGATAGGGGAGGTTTAAATACTTTGCTGAACAGTGGCAAAGGCTATGAATTTTGCAAACAGCGTTAGGGATTTCATATGCCCAGCTGGCAATATCTATTATTTAATGGCTCTCCGATAAGTTGTAGATATTTGTATTAACAATCATAAGATACAGAGATGCTGGGGAATATGAAAGGATAACTTTGGGAAGAAGGTGTTCAAAGTTGGAGGAGTTTGGGCATGAAATAATAATTGATACTTTATTGATCCCCGTGGGGAAATCGTCTTTACAGGGAGCTGGGGGCCTTGCTCAACGACCCACGGATGTGTTGAGGCTGGGTTTGAACCGGCAACCTTCTAATTATAGGCACACACGCTGCCTCCAATTATGTTTTCAAAAACTCTACATTATTTACAAGGTTTATATCCTGAGTTTACATATTTTTTTGTTTGTTTTTATTTCTAAGCAGGAATATATGTCTGTGATGATTTATTTACACACACCTGGATGTTTATTTCAAGTTAATTGCCATGTCTAGAATACAACAGCACCACGCCATATGGAATCTGGCACTGCTCACAGTTTGGTCATATAACATCAATTATATTCATTATAAAATGAATAAAAAGATTGTATTTCATAATATATAACAACCTTCATGTTTTGTGGGTAGCTCTGGTTGTGTGCTGGGCTGTGTGACTTGCATCATGCTGTGATATGAAAGTTTACCTCTCCAGAAAAAGTGGATAAATGTGATATGTGATGTGATGCTCTGGTTCGTGGGGGGGGGAGGCTGCTCTACAGTATGACAACAGGTAACTCCTAGTGGACATTTTTTGCTGTTTTGATTTATTAACATGCCAGCCAAGCAATTTCAGCAATCTTGGTCTTGCATGATTTTTGTTTCACTGCTTCTTAATTCCCCAGTCCCCCAGCTGTCGAGGGGACCGGGGTGACACCCAAGCCACAAAGTCTGGGAATCTGGTTACATTTAGTCATGGTCAAATGTGGAGCATGGCTACATTTTCCAGGAAAACTAGGCTTATAGTTATGAAGGACAAAATTTTTATTTCCAGCTTGAGCTGGGGATTAATTATTCCTTCTTAATTAGTGCCAATATTTAATTAGAAACATCATTTATTTAGGCTGAAGATTTCTGGTGCAGTGGCCCGCCTTACAGGCCTGAAATAGATTCAGACTGTGATGCCCTTATTCTGCGAAACATTTCTCCTGGCAATACACCTGAATCTGCTATTTCTGTGAATTAGTGTGCATGTGAAGTGGGGTCAGGATGGAAGAGCTGCTTTCAACATAAATAAACCGCTTTCCCTGAACAAATATGCCAGGGCACTTTGCTTAAGTTGATATGTGTAACTCACAGTTTAGTCATTGGTTTCTTCTGCGCTAATTTTCTATAAAGCTGGGAACCAGAAAGGACAAAATGCACTACAATGTCCACATGCTAAAATTAGACAGGTAATGTTAAAATATAACGACAATTTAAAATATTGTCATTATCATCATAGGTTTTCCTGGTGAGGTCACGGCAATTTAAATTTCTATTTTCACCGCTAAATCACCGTTTTACTTACCAATAGTCACCAGGTGATTGAGACAAATAATGAATGCCCAACGTCCTCTAAACATGAAAAGATTAAAGTAAATGTATTATTAATAATACTTTATATTCTAGGGATCTGTGGTCTAGAAATAAACCTTTATTTTAATAAGTATAATACAGTATTACATAAAGTGATAGTGAAAGCACGATTGTCGATTGGTGATTGGTGGATGAGATTTAATTCTTGCCCAGTAATATTCCTCGTATTTTCAACCTTGGGCGGGTTGTGACTCTAGTCAGGCACCATTTCTAATCGTTTATAGATACTCGCTAGTGGAAACACCAGGGGGCGTAAATAGACACATAGAGATTCATCTCAATTGACTTAAAATCTTGTAAGGGGCGGGTCCACTGATCTTTTATTATCAGACCAGGCAGATGACATTATCCGACACTTGTCGATTTTCTTTATGGTTACTCTAATAAAAAGTGTCAGCGCAACTATTTTAATCTCATGGCACGTTCCCGCATTTATTTTAAAATATCCAGATATGTTCTTGCGCGTAATGGCAAAAAACGTTTTAAACCACAAAATACCTACCGCTGATTAACAGGAGCAATCTATATGGCTGAATTGCTAATTACCGCGTTGTAAAATCGTCCGGTTCTGCGACCAATAAATACAGGTAATGGTTTTCACTTTCCGTACCATCGTAACCGACAGGATCATTATTCTTCGGCGGTCATTGATTGGTTTGCGTGTCTCCTAGAGTCGTTGAGTGCAACTGGGCCCTTCGTTCGCCATTTGGGATCAGCATCTGCATTCATTTGCAATACAATTTAGAGCCCGTCCAAACCATAATGGCGGCAGTTTTAAGTGTCATAAACCTTACGTCTACAAGTAAGTCCCTCGTCCCTGTCTGGCTTGCGGTGATTGGCCCCTCCGCCTCAAACGTGTCAAAGTTCCCTCCTCTGACTGGTCCAAGCTCTGTCAATCACGCCAGGGACGGCCCGGTACCCGAGAAGCTGGGGTTGCGCGTGCCCCTTCCTAGGTCCTGGCAGCACCATCCGGCCGAGGGGTGTCGTCAGTCCACCCGCTTGTTTTCGATCACGGAGAAGCCGGTGCGGGTGTTTTATTTTTGTTTCCATCTTAATTTTCTTAATTTCGCACTTATGTCGGCGGTGTGTATGGTGACAAAGCGGCGAGCGAGCTAACGAGCGACCATCCCCTCCCCAGACCCGATGGAAAAAAATAAGTTGACCGATCGATCCTGGGGAAGAAGAGTTCGTTTTCCGCGCTCCGGGAGGAAGGATAGCGAGTGCTGGTCAAAATGATCCGGATTTCTGCAAGCAGACAGCTGCGGGGATTGTGACATTTTTTACAGGTGGCCTGAGAGCCGGCGTTCATCGGTAAAACGGCGACCGCGACGCGCGCAGACATCCTCCCCATCTTTCACGCGTTTGTGTTTTGGCCAGGCATCGTTTCTGCACCGTCCGGGCACCGTACGCTTTGAGCTTTTTGTCACACGCCAGGCGATTTTTTTGTCTCCATCGTTTGCTGGCTTTTTGACCCTTAAAAATAATTTTTAAAAAAAACAACAACAATATTTCAGCTGTCTCGACGGCAGCGATTCACCCTCGGCAACTTCTGCAAAACTGCGCGCGGCACCGACGGCGGGCGGGCAGCGGCAGCGCGGGGTTTGACAAGAAGGCAAACATGGGGAAATGTAAAAGATGAGCGTCTGATCGTCCGGATCCGGGCTCTCGTTTTCACTGCAGAAGCCAGAGAAACCAGACGAGTTTCGCCGGCGGAGAGGGGGGAGGTCCGCTGCTTTCCAACATGAAGGAGGTCTAGGGCCGTGGAGTATTTATTTATTGAGGGGGGAGCCGGGTGTGTTTTCTGTCGCATCTATATTTCCCCATTTTTTTTATTTTACTTTTTTTTTTTTAATAGGCTGGGGATATTATGCATTTATACAGTCTTGATCGCGGCGGCGGCATTTAATGCATAAATATTGTCCCCGTAAAAATAAGGTAAAGGTAGGAAGTAGGTCAGATGGTTGAAATGATGGGGCTGGCGCATCAGCGGGAGTGAGGGCATCTCACACAATGATGACAGTTGCCACGTTTGTTTGATTTTATATTTTGGCATGCATTTAGTTTTTAATTATTATTATTATTATTATTATTATTATTGTGTGCCAGGCCTTTTGTAGCCAAATGACCGTTCGACAGCCACCTGCCTAGGTCCCGTCTCCCTCGCCACTCTCCATCTTTCTTTCTTCGCTTGTAAAATCTCTGAGGGGGATACATTTTACTCCTCACCCTCGCTTTGTCGGGTGGATGGCCCTGTGCGGGACCACGGCTAGCAACGCCGCCAAGATGATGGCCGCGTATAACGGGGGCGCCTCGGCCGTGGCGGCGCACCATCCGCACCACCACCACCAGCTGCCGCATCTCCCGCCGCCCCATCTCCACCACCACCACCATCACCCGGGCCAGCATCATCTGCAGCAGCAGCATCCCCCAGGCTCGGCGGCCGCTGTGCACCCGGTCCAGCAGCACGCCTCCACGGCCGCCGCGGCTGCAGCGGCCGCCGCCGCCGCGGCCGTCATGCTGAACCCGAGCCAGCAGCAGCCCTACTTCCCGTCGCCAGCTCCCGGACAGGCCCCTGGACCGGCGGCGGCTGCAGCTCCGGCCCAGGTCCAAGCCGCGGCGGCCGCGGCCGTCAAAGCTCACCATCACCACCACCACCAGCACCAGCACTCGCACCACTTGCAGCAGCAGCAGCTGGACGTGGAGCCCGACAGGCCGATCGGATACGGAGCTTTCGGCGTCGTATGGTAAGTGCTGCCCGTATGCATGAGCCGCTCCGTGGCCGCAGTTTTATTTCCCATGTCGAACGTTTATCATCTAACCCTCCCGTTAATTGTAAAACACCGAAAGACGAGCCATGCTGGGTTTGATTTAAACATCGCATGAGATTTGTGAAATTCTAGTTTTCTTTTTAATAGCTTGTGTTTTAAATTTGCTGGGCTTCGGCTGGAGTGCAGAGATGAATGGTGGGGTCGATTTAGGGTGACGGGTGGATGTGTGCTTTGAAAATGTAGGGAAAGGGATTTCGGGGGGCACAAAGATGCAGCTTGAATGAGGAGCAGACGAGCACCCCTTTAGATCTCCTAAAAATGTGTAAAATGAAAGTGATCGGTCCCGGCCCGGTGTTGCGCCTTGTCCTCCTTATACCCGAGACTTATCTCCTCTCTGCACTTGCTTGATCATTTATAAGGATCTTTTAAGTGCTCTTTACTGCACTGGTAACATCTGCGCGTACAGCCTCTGCGTGCATTTCGGCGCATCGCAGTTTTAAAAGAAGTTGGGGGGGGGGGGGGTGTTCAGATAGGCGCAGTGGAGCCGCGTTAATGTGTCCGTCGGTAGTTAATTTTTCCCTGAATTGTAGGGTCTTGATAACGGCCACCCTGCGTCGTATCTCGGGTGTCTGTTTGTTTAGGTAAATATTTGCTTTCGGAGCCTGTGCCGTGCCGTTTAGGATCCTGTTGCGTTTAGATGGGGGTGTGTGGCGTTTCAGGAGCACCGGCTTCGGCTGCTCTGGGTAATAAACTTTGCCTTACCCCCCCGGAAAGACTTCAACCAGGTGCTCTGAAGTCTGCCATGCTGTTTGGGACCCCGGTTTCCTGTTATCTGCCACAGGTTTGGCTTTACATATCAGGCTCTGGTGTCTTTATTTTATAACTCGAAAAATTCAAGTTTCTTTGCCGTATTTCTGTATTTTGGGCCATCTCTGGTCACCACTGCCCTGCCCCCCTAGGTAACAGTTGTGAACAGGGGCCACAATCACTTCTGGCATGGGGGGCAATTTGTTTCCTCGGCACCCGTCATCCCGGAGCGGCCTGCAGTGTTGCAGGAGCGCAGCAGCTTCATCTCTGAAAATAAAACAATCGTGTTGCAGGTATGAAAAGATCTGCCAACATGCTGGGAAGTGTTACCTCCCTTGGGGAGGGGGGGGCTGTGTTTGGGCATCGTTCAGTTTCTTGTAAGGCCAGACACGCAAGCATGTGTCAGGACCGTTACCTCGCTGACTGAGAAATGTGGTGCGATTCATGGTATTTGTGGATTGATTTGGCACACAGGATGTGTAAGTTTAACCACAAACCACTCCGCCACTTTATGGGAAAAGATTACTTTATTCGCGCGTTTAACTTACCCCAGTGATACTGGAGTAGCTGTCAGCAGAATTCCAGCCATTAGGTGATGAATTTTTTGAGTGCGTGGAAGCTCTCGTTCAGTCGTTCAGTTTCGTTTAGGCCCGATCAGTGGGTTTTCCATCATACATTATATATCAACACAGCTAGAAGCATGTTGTGGGGGAATCGCTCTAGCTGCTCATTCCAGCACCCAGCTCTCACATCTTCGGCCTTAAACTCAGGCTTTGTATGCCCGGTCCTGTATCTCGCCTTCTAATTAAACAAGCATGCTTCTCCAGTCTGCCGGTCGTAAGAACGGCCTGCTTTCGAGGAGTGATTCGGGGGGAGGGGGGCTGTCAGTTTGCGCATCAGTGTACCAACCCCTACCACGGCCCATAATCCCAAGCTGACATTTTCCCCTGAATGGCTTCCTGTCTCCCATCGTTGTCTCTTAATCTGTGTCGCTGGCTGCCTGCATATTAATAGCCTCAATGAAAGGAGATGAGCTGGACGAGAGGATCCCCCCCCAGCCAGCCAGCCAACACCTGATTTCACTTCACATCCCGCTTGACCCGTGAGCCTTGGAGAAAACGGCTAACTCAAAGGGAGATGTTTACGTCAGGCTAAGCGGCCGCGTCTGGCTCGCCCGCGTCTCTGACATCTGACCTTTGAAGCTTGCCGCTGAGGCCCATGATTCTGCGTGTGCGGTTCGTGATACCTAAACACCAGTTAAAATTCAGCTATCCTCATACAACATGAAAAACCCACCAATGTCAATAAAATGGTTTTCATAGGTTGTAAGCGATAAATCCGTCGTCATGCGAGGAATCTGAAAATCGTATGCCATGGTTTCTTTAATAAAGTGCCGTGGAGATATGAATAGTGACTCGGGATATTAGAAGTTTCGTCTTGTCAGTCATCCGTATGTCCGCTCGTGACATTTTTTTTTTTCCTTTTCTCCTCCTCAATCTATATGTTCCCTGTTAATAAACTTTGTTTTCAGCTGTGATCCGTGTACGAGTGGGAAGGAAGCACCCCGAACGCAGCCCCTGTGCTCTCCCCGGGGGCCGTGCCTCCCCCTCAGGCCTGTTGCTGGGTGGGTGGGCTTTCAGGCAGAGTTAATCAACATTCACCGACTCGTGTCCGTTTCTTGGGTGGCTGCTGCCGTGACGGAGATGCCAGCGAATGAGTCAAACATGCGGTTTGTGGAAGGAGGCCGTGGGACAGTCCTCCGCTTGGCTTTCGTGTCGTTGAGCGGGACTCAGTCTCGTTTCATGGGGTTTTCCTTTCTCAACGACAAGTACGGTGTAGTGTTTGGGTTTCTCTTTCGCTGTTTGGAGTGTAAACGGCTGCTTCTCATTGGCTGTCTGAGTCCCTCTGGTGTATTTGAAGCCTCCGTCCCATCTCCCGTGTCGTCGCGCTGAAATCCACAACAGATATGAGTTGCGGGGAAAATGATTAATGGGCTGACGAAGCATTACCACGCTGACGAGGGTAACCCCCCCCCCCCACAGGTGTCAGGAGCAGGCTGTCCGTATTGACCTGCCCCCACCTCCCGTGACGGTGATGAAGAGGTTTTAATAATAGTGTTGGTGGCAAAACAGACTGCTGGCGTACTGACAGCCCCCCCCCCCCCGCTAGAGGTGGGCATGCTGGACGTCCGAGAAAGTCTCATTCATTTTAATATTTATTTAATTAAATCTTTAACAGCAACAGTGGGTTTTTTTTTTTGATGGATGTAACACATGCTGATGTTGTGTGTTGATAGTGAGATAATGGCTATTAGGTAGAAACATGGTGAAACTGATTACTAACTGTACCTTATGCAAACAAACACTCACGGGTGACTAATATATGTGTTTGTCTTCGTCTACATATATTATGAATGATAAACCGATCCATTAAACCATTTTCTGACAGAAAATTGTAAATCCTTTGCCAATTAGATCTTGCTAATAACATTTCCAGGAAATAGGGGAAAAAAATAGTTTTTGCTAGCAATATTTGTTAGGTTTGACTTTGGGAATTTCATAAGGATGCAGGGAAGTTGGGGAGAGGAAAAAAGTTATAAAGGTTTCTAAAAAAGGCAGGTGCTGTTAGATACTGTAAAGTTTGACTCTGCTGTTTAATGCTTCACCTTTGTCTTTTAAAGTTGTGGATTAGTTAGGAAGCGTTTGGATTTTATCACGTTTTCCCCTCCGTGAACCAAACTGACAGACCCAACCGGTGCACCTCGGGAATGCAAATGAGATGAGAGTTCAAACCCTTCTGAAAAAATCTAAAATATTCTCACCTCCTAGAGAAACTGGGACTGTCTGAAAGGATCGTTGTTACCAGCTGCCTTTGTCGTCTTTAACTGGCTCTGCGAGTCACAAGACATTCCAAGGGATGAGGGTGTATCCTTGTGTCTTCATGGGCTAATGAAAATATCACTGTACTCTCCAGGGCATAGAGACTGATACAGAGTGGCCCAGCGTCTTAAAAGCGCAGTGCCAATCGGGCGTGCCATTGGCCGGGCACTAAATGCAGCTGGATTCTACTTTTTGCACTTCTGCCTGTTCGGTAGTCCTGCCCGCGCAGTGACGAGACTCCGGAACTTTCAGCCGCGGAGCCGACTCGCGGGATGAGATTTGACATTTTAGTCGGGATGTCGTTAAGGAGAGGGATCCGTAATTGAGTTTTCTGAAACGCAGTGTCTTCGGAAACGGGTCACAAATGCAGCAGGGCAGTGAGATCCCTCGCGGGCTCTAAAGCCATGTGATTGGGTGAGTTTGGTGATGGTGTAGTGTAATGAAGTACGTGACAGTATGTGACAGTTTGCCAGGGGAAATACCAAGGTTCTCTCCTACCCTTATCTGTCTCTGTATCTGTCTAAATCTCTCTCTCTCTCTATCTGCTTGCATGGACTGGGTCACCCGTCATGACATCATTGCTGGGAAACCTGGCATCGCACTTCAGCAGAGCCTTAAATCACAGCCCGATTAATAAACACTGGACAGGCCCCTGCATTCATCTGCGGCCCCCGGGGGTCTCGCTTAATCGGAGGCACCTTGGTGTGTTTCCACTGCGCCCCTGCAGCCACTGCCTCCCGCAGTCTCAGGCTGCCTTTAAGCTTTTTGCCCATATCTGCCTTTTTGTGCCTCGTGCAGGTTCGCGCTGCTGAAAATGGCCAGTGAGTGTCCCGGTCTGTGTGTAATTGTGTGTGTCTGTCTGTGTGTCCTGGTTGTGGCTGTTCTTGGGTCATAATCGCTTTTCAGGAAGACTGTATGGCTGCCATTCTGGAACAGTGCTGAAGTGCGCTTAATCCAGCTGCCGTTTTACACGCCAGCCCTGGTACATCCCCCCCCCCAGGGAGGGTCCGAGACCAGCAGCTCATCGCCAGCTGACACACTCCAGCACCACATCCTCGCCCTGTCTCTCTCTCCTCCTCCTGTCCCCCTGTCATGTGACAGTGGATCTCCCAATGCCCGGTGCCACTGCTGTCACGATAACTTGTTGCTAAGTTGATGCTTTGATCCAAAGTGGCTTATAGTTTTACTCCTTCCCAAAGCTGGATATTTTGCTGGTGCTCTTCCAGAACTTTGTGGATTAAGCAGCAGAAACCATGGAGGTTACAAGCTTGTGGCCTCGAAAGACGTGAT